TGATCATGGCATGGAGAATATATTGGTTGCCCGTTATATGCTTGAAAGAAGGGGACTTAATAGACATAGTGTCATTGCAGGGTCCTCGGTTCACAATCAACGCATTGAAAGGTTATGGGCTGAAGTTAATAGAGTAGTAAGTAGACATTTTATCAGCCTTTTCAATTACATGGAGTCCATCTATATACTAGATTCTCTAGATGAGTATCACACCTGTCGCTAATGTGTGGAGGAGATTTCGCAACGGAAGAGTCCCGCGCTGAAGGCCGCCATCCGCTGGGGAGACCTGCACAGCTGTTTTCTGCTTCTGCCGGTGCGGAGGCCTGATCGGGGGATATCGCGGAGAAACCGGAGTGTTGCCACACTGCTGGTTGCCTATTCCTTGCTGCTGTCCGTGGTTTTGTTTCGGGAACTTCGTGGATGCTGTTGTGCTGAACTGGGAAAATGGCAAATGTCGTGTTTCTGCTGTGCCTTTTTTTGACTGTGCTGGACAATGAGAAGATCGGTAGTCATCCTGAAAAATCTGCTGGATTCGGGTCTGTTCTGTCGCCGGCAGTGGACATCCCCTGTACAGGTTCGGATGGGTTGCACAAACATTTGCTGGTTGCACTGTCGCGGACATTCATCTCGTCAAATGTCTGTCTTTCTCACTTGCCTGCCACGATGGTCCTTCAGAATTGTTTTTTGAACTCTAATCTCACTTTCGCGAAGTTTTCTGGTGACTCTAAAACAGTTGACAATGTTTGTGTGTTGATTAAGAGGAAAAGGTGCTTGGTATTTTTATTGTTGTTGCTATCGGGGAATGTACAGCCAAATCCGGGTCCACCTAGTACTTTTAGTCAAATAGCTACTCCTGCTGATTTTATTTCTAGATCGGGGTTAGGTTTAATTCATTTAAATGTGCGTAGTCTGTTACCTAAATTAGATTTTGTCCGTATTTGGGCGAGTTCAACTGATGCTGATGTCATTGTCTTATCAGAAACGTGGCTTGATAAATCCATCCTGGCCTCTGACATTTACATAAATGGTTACAATGTATATCGCACTGACCGTCCTAAAAAAGGTGGTGGCGTTGCCATTTATGTGAAAAATAAGTTTTGTGTAACAAATATGGTTTCCAAATCGGTTAGTAAACAACTGGAATTTTTAGCTGTGAATGTCGAAGTCACAAAGGGTCAACAGGTCATGGTGGTGGGTTGCTACAGACCCCCCTCAGCTGTCAAGGACTCCTTATCTTCACTGGCAAAACTGTTATCTCAACTTTCCTACAAGGAAATAGTGCTGCTTGGTGATTTTAATTGGGACTGGTTAACTTCTGTGTCAGAGGATTTTAAAAACCTTTGTACCTCTTTGAACATTACTCAGATTGTAGATAGTCCTACTCGCCCAAACATTAAGTCCCCAAGTAAATCCTCCTTAATTGATCTTATTTTAACAAATGTGCCACATAAATACTCATCTGTGGGAGTATTTGCTAATGCTGTGAGTGACCACTGTGTTGTAGCCACAATTAGGGACACTAAGATCCAAAAAGTGAAACCACGCATTATCACAAGGAGAGATAAAAAACACTTTGTGGAGCAGGGTTTTTTACACGATCTGTTTGATTTTGATTGGGGTAAGATCAATCTGTGTGCGGATGTAGAAACTGCATGGTCTTATTTGTATCTTGGTTTTATGAAAATTATAGATAAACATGCACCTCTGCGTAATTTCAGAGTGAAGGGTCGAGACAATCCCTGGTTTTCCGCTGAACTGTCCAGTCTCCTTCATGAGAGAAACAATGCCTGGGCTAAGGCTAGGAAATCAGGCTCAGAGGTAGAATGGCTACGCTTTAGGCAGCTAAGAAATAGCTTCACATCACAAATAAAAAGTGCTAAATCAAAGTTCTATTTGTCAGTTACCACAGAAAATCTGAATAATCCTAGGAAATTTTGGAAAGCCATAAAATCGATTTCCACTGGTGATATTCCAAATGAGCTACCTCCATGCCTCACCACAGAATCTGGCATTATATCAGACAGGGCTACTATGCTCAATTGTTTTAATAAGCATTTTGTGTCTTGTGGCTCGCTGTTTGATTCTATCACTGACTGTGCTTCTGCTTCTGTGAACGCTCCAATCCTTGAACAATGTGGTCTGGAAAACCCTTTCAGTTTTACCCCTTTTACTGTTGGTGTTGTCCATGATGTTTTATCCAAGTTAGATCCTAGGAAACCGGCTGGCCCGGACAACCTAGAACCTTTCTTTTTAAAGATAGCTGTAGATTTTATTGCTCCACCGCTTACTTCTCTTTTTAACCTCTCCCTTAGCACAAATACAATTCCTAAAGTATGGAAGTCTGCTTATGTCTTGCCTTTACTGAAAGGAGGGGAGGCAACTATTTTAAATAACTATAGGCCAATCTCGAAATTGTCAGTTCTGGCTAAAGTGCTTGAACGACTAGTGAGTGAGCAAGTAAAGGACTTTTTATGTATAAATGATATCCTGTCGAAACATCAGTCGGGCTTCAGGAAAAAACATAGCACCATCACTGCCACAATGAAAGTTGTAAATGACATCACTAGTTTTTTAGATAATAAGCAGAGTTGTGCAGCTCTGTTTATTGATCTCTCTAAAGCGTTTGACACCGTTGATCATCGCATTTTAAAACAGAGGCTACTCAGCATTGGCTTGTCCAGCCTTGCAGTGGGGTGGTTTGTGAACTACCTCTCTGAAAGGTCCCAATGTCCCCACTTTGATGGGCTCACTTCTGAGTGGTTGAGCATTTCTAATGGTGTACCTCAGGGTTCTGTTCTAGGTCCATTTTTATTCTCTATTTATATTAATAGCTTGGGTGATAATGTGGAGGAAGCTACCTTACATTTTTATGCGGATGATACTGTGATGTATTGTGCAGGTACCTCAGTTAAGGAGGCTGTTGTTAAATTACAGACTGTTTTTAACACTGTTCAGGCTCAGCTCTCAGCGCTTAAGCTTCTTTTAAATGTGGATAAAACCAAGTTAATGCTCTTTTCAAAAGCTAAAAAGTCACCAGAGCCTGTTTTAGATATTGTAACCATGCAAGGAAAAAAACTTGAAGTGGTAACCTCTTACAAATACCTTGGTATCTGGCTTGATGACTGTCTTTCTTTTAAACTGCATGTAAATAACCTGCTTAAAAAACTGAGGGTTAGGCTAGGTTTTTTTTATAGAAACAAGTCCTGTTTCTCTCTTGAGGCCAGGAAAAGGCTAGTCACTGTGACCTTTTTACCTGTGCTGGACTATGGTGATCTATTTTATATGAATGCGCCGGCCAATTACCTCACCAAGATAGATGCCGCCTATCATAGTGCACTAAGGTTTGTGACAGACTGTAAGACTTTGACTCATCATTGTACCCTGTATACAAGGGCAGGGTTGCTTTCACTTACTGTACGGCGGCTAAATCACTGGTATCTTTTTATTTATAAAGCAATGTTAGGGAAACTTCCGTCTTACATCTGTTCCCTGATCTCACAGCGTATTGTAAATGGCTACTGTCTGAGATCTAAAGCTGTGGTTGTATTACATGTGCCAACTGCTAGGACTGTAGGAAATACAGCTTTTAGATGCGCAGCGCCGCTAGCATGGAACAGTCTACAAAAGGAATGGAAGCTAAGCAGTTTGATTCCATTTCATGTTTTTAAAGCTAGGATAGACGCTATACAATCAGAAAATATTGGTGTCTGTAAATACTACTAGTATACAAACTGTAGTATCATATAATGTCCTTTGTTTTCTGTCATGTTTGTATTAATGTTTGGAACTAATTGAAGCAGGTCACCATTGTAAAAGAGGTCTATGATCTCAATGGGTTTTATCTGTATAAATAAAGGTTTTGAATTGAATTGAATTGAATCATTTGTTTTGTCTACATTATATTTGTATGCCTAGAATTAGAACAGCAACAATAGAGTTCATCAATCAGTGGAACCACCATGGACTCTCCACACAGGGGGGTCGTACTCCACTACAGCTCTGGCATGCAGGTATAATTAACTATATGGGACAGGGAAATACAGCTGTGGATCACATTTTTGACAACAATGACTATTATGGGATAAATGAAGATGGACCTTTACCTGAAATACAGACAAATAATAATGTTATAATCCCTGCTATAGCTACTGTTAATGAAACTAGCTCAAGCAATACAGCAACAGTTTGATCCACTACATGATGATGGAAACTTAGGCATCAATTTATTTTCTTCTCTTTTGCTTTTTGTCCAGCAACACAGTACATAAGAGCAATTTTACAGAAGTCTGAACAAACAAGTGTATCAGTAGGCAGGAACAGCAGAGACCTACAAAATTGCACATGGACAGTGCAAAGTGTTTTTTGTAGTAGGGCCTATTAAGTTATCAACATGACTTATAAGGCCTTGAACAGTTCACACAGAAGATGTGGGACATATAACATTTCAAATAGATACAATTAAAATGTGCTCTCTAAGAGGTTTAGGGCCAAATGGGAACTATTTTGATTTCTGACCAAAAGTGAGCATTTCAGAATTTTGAGTTTAAAGTCAGAATTCTAAGGCGTCTAGGGGGCGCTAGGTGGAACAGTTGATTTTTGACCCAACAGAGACCAACCATGAGGAAAATCCATGGGACAAAAGTGGACTAAAGAAACAATAAAGAAAGGGTTATTTTTGTTTTTACATTGGCGATTAGTATTTTACATTTAATTAAAAGTGTCTTAATAATAGTTCACTTTTCTCCTGTGGATTGTCCTCTTGTTTGATCTCTCTCCATCGGGTCGAAAATCAACTGTTCCACTTAGCGCCCCATAGAGGCTTGGAGTACTTCTGTTGTGGTTTTCTTTAGCATTTGTTTTCTGACATCTTATAACAAAAAAAACAAAAAATGACAACATTAAAATACAATGTTGGTTGTTTTCCAATGAGATTATGTCACATTAACAGTGATACAACAACTTCCTTGGTTAATAACAAAGACAATGAAAACACTGTATTTTTTGTGTAACAACAATATTTTGTCTTGGACAATTTAAGCTCTGCCAAAGCCATGTGTATTGGCAAAGGCAAAGTCCAGTTTTGCCTTGAACACAGAGTATGAGCTGTGCAACGGCAGCTTGAGACAGTTTATGCATGTATTTGCAAGAGGGAGGTTTGACACAGCAGAGTCTCCATACTCCTCCTCGTGCAGGAAATCAATAGATGGCATAGGTTGGAAGCCAATTGGTGGGATCACTGTCGCTCCCGTGGCAAAGGCAAGGATTTGCTCAAGTTTGGAAGGACCCTCTTGATCTTAAAAAAATTAAAGCAAGATGTGTTTTTATGGCTGAAATGATTGTATTGAAAAGTACAAGTTCTAGAGGAGACAACATGGATCTATGTCAATAAACATTTCAACTTGTCATGTACTTTTTACAAACCAGAGCTCTTACCTTCCGCATCAATTAGGTAGTCTCTCCAGTAGGGAACCACCATCTCCTCTGCTCTCCTCTTGTTGCTGCCTTGCGCAGATAGATGGATGGGGAACAAATCCTCCATTATCTCAGCAGTCAGTGCAGATTGCTGATGGCAGAATAGAGGGCGGAAGCTGTCTGGGCTCTTCTGGAGCTTTCCCAAAACTCCAAGGGTTTTAAGCCCCTCTTGGAACCTTTTTAATCGAAGAAAGACATATTTATTTCAGTGATGAGCACTCTCAATTCATAAAATGAAGGCTCTGACAGAAAACCAACATTCTGGGTTAAAAAGTTTGACTGAATGTTTGCACGCTGCACTTTAGACCAGGCAAGCAAAAAAAATACTAGGTAATTTCTAAATACTTTTTCCTTTTAACCTTTGTCAAATTATACCCCAGTATACGGTATTACAGCCGGGTAATATGTATTACTACGCTTATTTTTACTAGCTCAACTTGTCGCTTGTTGTTTTAGTTTCACACTTAACACAACATTTTAGAAGATTACATTGAACCAGGAGTCGGCAACCTGCAGTTAGCGTTTAGTATTTACGCTCCACATAACTGGAACAAACTGCCAGAAAACTGCAGGTCCACTGCAACTCTCACTTCTTTTAAATCAAAGCTGAAGACTTTTCTATTTGCCACTGCCTTTTATTTAATCCAATGTTTTTATCTTACACTGCACTATAACTTTTATTCTTGTATTTTGAACAAAGTTAATTCCATTTAGGCTTGTTTTCTTTCAGGTTTTTATGACTGTTTTTAAAGGATTTCTTTAACGTAAATGTATGTTTTTCTGTTGCACTACATCTTGTAATGCTTTTAATTTGTTCTTTTGTAAAGCACTTTGAATTGCCTTGTGTTTAAATGTGCTATATAAATAAACTTGCCTTGCTAATATTTGTAATTGTTCTGATATAGACAATTACCGTATTAACCGCCCAACCCTAAGATAGACTTTCGTTTGAGAGAAAGCGAAAGAAAGAAAGAGAGAAACGGAAATACCTTTGGAATGGGGCTTCAACCCGGTGCACAACTTGAAACATGAGGATATCATGGACAAGCTGTTCCTTCTCCTGAACCCTTTTCAGCGGACGAAGACACCCTGCATTGGCCAAATAATCCTGCATCTGTTGAGTTGCAGCAATGAGGTCCTCATATTTTGAACTCTCGGACACCTGAAATAAAATGGTAGTATTAAAAAGCTACTAAAAACAAATAAAACGTAATGGTTAATAAATGGTTCTAAATGGTACATCTTGAATTTGCTTTAGTTCAGCATACAGGAGCATAGTTTTACATTTCAAAGACTGAATTTGTTAATATGATAAGTTTTGAATAGCTGTGTTATGAGAAAAACCAACCCTTTTCACTTGATTGTAGATGTCTGTGTCTGCAATGTCCTTCAACACTGGCTTGGCTGTATGGCTGCCTGCAGCCAAGCAGTCAAATAGTGTTGTAGAGAGGAAACTAGGTGGTGAGCCTCCATGGACAAGACTGAAAGCAATAGCTCTTCCAGCAAGGAAATAGCGGTCCTCTCTGTGTGCTGTAAAGGCAGTATGTGGTTGAAAAGATCTGAATAGCTCAGATAGCAACAATGACTTTTGTTATTGACCATAGTCAGTAGAATTTGAAATGTTATTTGAATTTACTGACTACACTTCTACAGTGGACAAACATTACCTGGAATATCAAGTGCCAGATTCTGACTATATTCTGACCCCTCAAACATGGAGCACATCATCAGAGCTTCCATCAGAAGGCGTAGGAACTCCCTCCTTGGTCCTCCCAAATCCACTGCCTCCTCATTCCGTCCAAGATCATCGGAAAATTTGATGTTCATGGTGGCATTGGGGTCGTACGTGGCCCGATTGAAGCTCCGGAAGGCACCATCCAACACTGCCGAGCGGTTGATGTTGAATTTACAGCGACTATTTGCCGAGATTTTATCAGCCAACTCTGAGAGGATCTCCTGAACAGAGGCATGTTCAGTTGCCTGGGCTCTGAAAAAAACAGAAAAATTACCAGAAATGGCACTTCGTTATCTATTGTTTTACTGAAGGGACAATTTAACTTTTACATGTTTTGCATTACAATAAGATTCACTATATAAAATGTTTTAATGAACATGCAGTTGTATGTGTGTTATAGTTTTTTTGATATTTTGGTTATGTCTATAACTATATGAAATGATAACTTACTGTTCAGTTTGAAGGCTAGCTTGTATTGCACGATTTAAATCCTCATCATCCGACGATAAATCAGAGACATCTCTCATTAAGGTCACATATGAAGAGTAGTCAGATGTGGGGGCAATGGTCGAGCTGGAAGCCGTGACACTGGTAGTCACTGGAACGACAGAAGAGCTGAAGCTGGAGTTGGTGGTGTGAGGCAGAGAGCTTGTCGTGTGAAGATAGCTGTTGAGTGGCAGGCTGGAGGTAGCGGTTTCATCAAGAATTAAACCATCGCTGTGGCCCTCTTCGCTGCTATCTTCCCTGGGATGAGTTGCCCTTGACTTTGACCTTGTGCTGGGACCCTCCTGGATAGCACAGGACTGATCCTCAGTATCACTGTTGTAACCCTTATCAAGAGAAAAACAATTATATTTGGATTACAATGATATTAGGTCAATAAAAAAATGTAAACAAATGAGATCCAGGATCTAAAAAACAAGGGTAAACTTACAAGAATAGCAACTGATGGTTTTACATACAAGGCTTTTGACCTGAAGACCTTGTGAATCATGTGACCATCAAACTCTTGACCTTCTTTAAGTTTAGGTGTCACAAGTTTATTTCCACAGGCCATTAGAAACTGCAAGCTGAAGAGTTGACAGATAATAAGCATTACATGATTAATAAAACATTAACAGACACAGCATGCATGAATGATAGTTACAAAGAATGACTCATCACATAGCTGTTCCAAGACCAGAGTAACCACATCAAAAACGTCTTTACACATATTTTTCATATTGGGCAAATTAAGCCTACCTCACATCCTCAGGAATTCTGGGCTTGAACTCATCCCGGATCTGTCGGAATAGGGTCAACTGGTTCCATGATTTATGGAACTCAAAAGCACTGAGTATGTGACCATTTGCATGCAAGAACTGTTTGGACTTTTGCTTGCACACAAACTCCCATGTTGGGTCAGGGAGTAGAATTACATCCTTGTTGAAATGGTCATGGTACTCCACAGAAGTGGGCCTGAAAAATAATAGCCAAACAGTTAAACATTTAACACACTATGACACAATGCAATTTAATGACAATGTAATTTTTCCTTAATTCTCTCAAAACGTCAAGTAACAATAAGACCTTAACAACATGCTATAGCAACCTAATTTCATCTTCTTGTGGTAGGTTAGGACTATATAATAGTAAACTACAAACTGCACGAAGCTGGTTCAAACTATTGCAGTGACTGTTGGATTAACTAGTAAGGCTCTGAATCATTTGTGTGCTACGCGCAATCTCAGGCATGAATAATAGTTTGGGATGAAAAAGGTGAGAAGTAAAAACCGACACCCACTAGATGGGTTCCAGGTGATTTTACTCTAGGGCTGGTGACAAGCTAACATAATTACAAGGCTGTGCAAAATGCCCTGAAGTAACATCAGTCTCAGCCATTGCTTTTGTTGAATTATGAAATGTAATATATGAATTCTGTTTATTTAATACTCTTATACTAATCACTTCCTGTATTCCCGTGATAAAAGGGACATGCTCAATAAAACGTGTCACTTCCGTTTGAAGCACAGCTGATGGTGTATGTGTGTATTTATTCCTCTGTCACGTTAACTATGTTCACAGTATTCCTGCCCTAAGATCATGGCATCGCTAACAGGTTATGGGCCCAGGAGGGACCATGGAAGTCGGTGGAACCGTTTGTGTTTCGACGGAGATGAGAAGAACTACGAGTTATGGGAGACAAAGTTTTTGGGTCATCTGCGACTGCTAGGATTGAAGGCTGCCATCCTAGAGGAGCCAGGTGAAGAGGATGAGGCTGATGATCAGAAAAACGAAGAAGCCTATGCGGAATTGATCCAGGTACTGGACGATAAAAGCCTTTCACTGATCATGAGAGAAGCAGCGGACAACGGAAGAAAAGCGTTACAAATATTGAGGGACCACTACGCTGGGAAAGGGAAACCACGGGTGATCAGCCTCTACACTGAACTAACGTCGCTGCAGAAAGCCGCTAATGAGAGCGTCCAGTGCTGGAATTGGGCCGGTACTCACCGGTACGCAGTACCGGCACTTCTGGTTCTGACCCATGGAGTACCGGCACTTCTTGCTCAGTACCGGCATGCTGGCGGTACTCCGGTACTCATGCACCGTGCCAGTACTCAACACTCTCCCGCCGTTCTTATTATACATCCATATATATATATACAGCCGCCCGGTACTCAGTAGATGCGTCATGAGGTGCCGAACGGACATTCTCATCGCTCTAACCGCTGGAGTTTCACAGCGGCTGTCAGCTGTTTACTCCTGTCATTCAAACAGAACGTGCTGGAGAGTGGGCGGGGCTTATCTTATCCATGTAAATACTGTGGTGGAAACGACTATGTCAAAATTAACCTATTTGACCGTGATTTAATAGTAATACACGTTTCAAAATAATAATAATAATAATGCCGAAATAACAACATACTGAAAACTGTTAGTAAAACCATGTTTTAATGCTTTACAATTTACATACCTAGATGCACGTGTGTTGTGTTTATGCAGTGCAACTCCCACCCAGTGGGTGGCTATGTAGAGTGATAGAACAGAGCAGGCACGCCCCCGAGAGAAGGAAAGCAAGTCACGTCACAAATTAGCATTTCTAAAATGTTAGCGTGGATTAATAAAAGTGCAAAAAGACAGCGGTTGTCGCCGGAAGAAACTTCAAATACAGAGAATGCTGTGCCTGTGTTGGAAATTGTGTCTGATGGGGAGCTTTCTTTGGTTGATCCTCCTGCTCCAAGTTCTAGTGCATTAGCATTAGCACTAGCTCCGCCGCCTCCTCCAGAGCCTCTAACGTTAGCTGCTGCTGGCGCAACTGCCACCACCAACACCGGGCAAAGCATGCACCTGACTGCTGGACAACGGACCAGGTGCAATATTTTTGCAAGACCAATGCATGGCTCCTTCTTAAAGATAAGAAGCTAGGATGTCGGATATGCAGAGATGTCAAATCTTTGGGAATACACACTGGACAAGGACTGAAACTGTCAACTGAATGGGGTGAGTGTGCAGTGTCTCATTTCGGTGTTGACAAGGGCAAACAACAAGCTAGCCTGAGAAAAAAAATCAAAGAACATAAAGAATCACAAGCCCATGTAAAAGCTGCTGACATCCTTACATCTGCTTCACGTGAAACTATTCAACATCAAGTGCAGTCTATGCATAAATCTGAATTAGACACCACTATCAGAGTTTTTCGAACGGCATATAAAATTGGCAAACATAGCCGGCCATTCACAGACATGCCAATTGATTTGAATGTACAGAAACTGAATGGGCTGAACGTGGGCAGGGTTTTGCACTCCAATAAAACCTGTGGCGAAATCATCGACCACATAGCTCATGAGCTGAAGAAAAAAATGGCAAAAGACATTACAGAAAACCAAAGAAAACTTTGTGTTTTGGTCGATGAATCTACCACTATTAGTGGTAAAACGGTGCTTGTTGTGTGTCTACGCTCAGCATTAGCTGATGCTGAGCCCGAAACGTTTTTTTGGGAGCTGATCGAGTTGGATGGAACAACGGCTGATGACATCACAAAGGCGTTAATGGAGTGTCTTGGAAGAGATTTTAACGAGGACTTTTTAGGTCAGTGTTTCGTTTCTTTTGCATGTGATGGGGCTTCAGTCATGCTAGGGAAGAGAACAGGCGTTGCTACCCAGTTGTGTAGTAAATTCCCAAGCCTGTTTGTGTGGCACTGCTCCAATCATCGTCTAGAGCTGGCAGTTGGGGATGTGGTCAAGGAGGTCTCAGGGCTCAATCATTTCCAGATCTTTTTTGACAAACTCTATTCCTTGTTCCATGCCTCCCCCAAAAATCAGAGGCAGTTAGCGCAGTGTGCGCAAGCAGTCGGACAGCGTCTCCTGGTGATAGGGCGTGTTTTGTCCATCCGCTGGGTGGCTTCAAGTGAAAGGAGCGTCAGAGCAGTCTGGGAAAACTACCGAGTGCTTCATGATCACTTCACAAATGCTGCAAACGACACGAGCAGGGATTCCAGAGACAGAGCAAAGTACAAGGGCCTGGATGATGTGCTCACATCTGCAACGTTTGTCAGCAATCTGGGACTGATGTACGATGCGCTCACAGAGCTCAGCGACCTCTCTCGGCAACTCCAAAAAAGAGAGATGACAATGCCTACAGCAGATAGGCTCTTAACTCGAGAAATACGAGTTTTTGAATCCATGGTCACCATGCCTGGCCCACACATGACTATAGTTCATACAGCTCTAGCTGAGAAGTCCTTCAAGGGTGTTGCCCTGCGTGAGAATGGCAGGCTTGTACAGATTCATGCAGGTCAGTTTTTCCGCAGTATGGTAGAGAATCTGAGACACAGAATGACTTCCACAACCTCCTCTCATGTCAGCACAAGAGAAATCCCATTACATGGCCGGGAGGCCCGGGACAATCAGCTAATCCAGGACATGAAAGTTATCCATCCTGGAAGTTGGCCTGAAGAGGAGTTAGACGTACAGTATGGGGACGTAGAGGTGCTACGTTTGTGCGAAGTGCTGAAAGTGGACAGAAGAGAGACTGTTCAGGGCTTTCGCGAATACAAGGAAACCAGGGCATCCCGTACACCTGCTGCCATGGAGCCTCTACTGAAAGCAGTCCGAACCATCGCTGTCTCCACTAGTGAGTGTGAGCGGGCATTCAGCTGCATGAACGATATCCTTACTGCAAAAAGGAATGCTCTCTCTGTCAGCCGACTGTCCAGCCTGGTTTTCATTAAATGTAATGGACCATCACTAGGACAGTTCAATCCGGAACAGTATGTGAGGTCCTGGCTGGCAAAGGGAAGGAGAAGTGCTGATGAAAGAGCCTGTCCAGCTCCAGCCCCTGATACTGATGTCCCCAAGGCCTTCTGGAGCCTTTTCTAACAATGTGAAGTATATTGCAAAGCAGCTCACCCAGTGAGAAGACTTTTGGCATAATGTGCCGATTTGTACAGATCCTGGAGATAGAAGGACTTCAGACCAACCAGGGAGTTATCTGATCAGCTTGGTGTTCAATGTAACTCTTTACCATGGCTCAGACTTTGTTACTTGCAGTTACAGTTTCTCATTTTAGATTGTGCAAATTTTGCATTTATTTTTTACATGTTCTTTGTTCATGCTCTTTATCATTTTTCTGAGTTGGAAAGTTAGATTGCATCATAGTTTACTTTATACATATTTGTATTCTTCAGTGGTGAAGTATATTGCAAAGCAGCTCAGCCATGTGAGAAGACTTTTGGCACTTTTTCGTTTTTCGTTTTCTGAGTTGGAAAGTTAGATTGCATTCAAAATGTACAGAAATACTTAATTTTGTTAAAGCTTTTTATAAAAAATGCTTCTGACCAGAGCTTTGTTTCCTTGTCATTAATGTTGAACACCACCAGAGGGGCTCTCACCTGAAAGGTCTCTGCTTCATGTGTCTTCAGCAGAAGATCTAGACTTTGATTGCTATATTTTCAGTTAATATTGACCTTACTGAGCTTTAGCCATATCCGCTGCCTATCTTAAAAAATGTTAAGTACAGTGAACCTTTCTAAAATATACAGTAGTAAAGAGACAAACCCACCAGCATTATAGTAGCCAAATTCTTGTTTGTGGGCTGTATATATAAAATTGACTTGAAAAAGTTGCTGATTTTAGAGTACTGGCACCTTTTTCATTCCAATTCAAGCACTGAGCGTCACTGACTATATTATTCGTGCCGAAACGGCAATTACAGCACTGAGAAATGCTGAAGAGACTCTTAGCGAAGGGCTGCTGATAGCCATGATTTTAAAGGGACTGCCAATCTGTTTTAGGCCGTTTGCCATCCACATTACACAAGGGGATGAGAAGCTAACTTTTGGTGAGTTCAAAACAAAGTTGAGGAGCTATGAAAGCACAGAAAAATACAATGCCAACTTGAGTGAGGAATCTGATAATATTATGAAAGCGAGTGGCTGGGTGAAGTGGAGAGATGGCCCCAATATCACCTGCTACAACTGCGGTCAGAAAGGACACCGGGCTCGTGAGTGTCGAAGTGCGAGCAGCAAAGACCAGAGACAGTGGTGCAGTTTTTGAAAAAATTCCACACATATAGTTGCAAACTGCAGACGCAAAGAGAGAGACAATGCTAAACAAGCAACTGACGTTGAGGACCACTCATTTGTTTTTAAAGTACGTGACAGTCCAGTAACCGGAGTTACACATAAAGGGCTGATGGTCGACACCGGAGCAACGTCACACATAATAACGAACATCGACAAGTTTAAAAGGTTCGATGAGACTTTTCAACCGAAAGACCACTTTGTTGAATTGGCTGACGGGACAAGAACAAGTGGTGTCGCTTTGAAGAAAGGAGAGGCGGAGGTCTGCCTGCAAGACACGGAGGGACGACGAGTGACAGCGATGCTGAAGGACGCGCTCTATATACCGTCCTATCCACAAGACATTTTCTCTGTTAAAGCAGCGACAGCCAACGGAGCATCAGTGAACTTTCGTCAGGGTTGTAACCAGCTGATTCACTAGAGAGGTAAAATATTTAACATCAAGGTAGACTTTATTTTTTAAACACTGTGGACTGTGAAGCTGAGGACGATGCATGTTATGGATGTTATGACATTCAAACATGGCATGAAATACTTGGTCACTGTAACTATGATGATGTGTCACAACTGGAAAAAGTCACTGAGGGGATGAAAATTAAGGGTGGGATTGATAAATCTAACCTTAACTGTGAAGTGTGTACTCAAGGTAAATTTGCTCAGAGTAGGAACAGACAACCAGATGCAAGAGCTAAAGCAGCGCTCAATCTTGTGCACACTGATTTAGCAGGTCCCATTGAGCCAGAGGCTAAGGAGGGATTCAGATACACATTGGCTTTTACAGATGACTTTTCAGGGGCAGTATTTGTGTATTTCCTAAAAGCTAAAAGTGATACTTTCAAAGCCACAGAAAAATTCATTGCTGATGTCGCACCTTATGATAAAATCAAATGTATAAGGTCTGATAACGGTACAGAATTCACCGGGACAAACTTTCAATCGCTCCTTAGACAACATGCAATACGACATGAAACTTCAGCACCTTACTCACCCCATCAAAATGGGACAGCTGAGAGAAACTGGAGAACACTTTTTGAAATGGCAAGATGCATGCTTCTTGAGAGCAATTTACCAAAGAAGCTATGGACATATGCCGTCATGACTGCAGCTGTAAAACGTAACAGATGTTACAACAGACGTGTAGGACAGACACCTTATTATATGCTGACAGGACGTAAGCCGAACCTCTCGAAAATGAATATATTTGGATCTGTATGCTATGCATACAAGCAGGAAAAGAAAAAGTTAGACTCGAGGTGTGAGAAGGGTATTTTTGTAGGGTATGATAAAAACAGCCCAGCATACCTAGTCTACAACCCAGACACTGGTAGTGTTCGAAAACACAGGCAAGTGAAGTTTGTCACAAAAAGTATAGTCGAGCGACATACACAGACTGATTTTGAGGCAAGTGATGATGATTTTTATGAGAAAAGGTTTGTATCCACCAAGCCAGAAACCCAGGGGACTGACTCGTGTCCAAAAGAGACACAGGAGGCTCGAACTGAGACAGATGACACAAACACTCAGACAGGAAAAGGAGCAGAAGGTCAAAATAGAAGCTATCCCCAAAGAGAAAGGAGGAGACCTCAGTATTTACAGGACTATGAATGTAAAGTACAGTGTGACGACCAGAAGTATGTAAATATTGACTACTGCTACAGAGTAATGTGTAATGTACCAAACACCTTTAAAGAGGCCATGAATTCAGCAGAGTCAAAACTCTGGACTGATGCTATGCAGGAGGAAATTAATTCTCTTAAGGAAAATGACACATTCACATTGACCACACTACCAAAGGGCACAATTAATCAGGAGCTATGTTTTAAACAACAAGATGAAAAACTGAAACTTGTTGCATACTGTGATGCGGATTGGGCAACAGACCAAAATGACAGACGGAGTATAACAGGGTACTGTTTTAGTCTAACTAGCAATGGGCCTGTTATTTCTTGGAGATCAAAGAAACAGCAAACAGTAGCTTTGTCGACATGTGAGGCAGAGTACATGGCACTGGCTGCCACAGCACAAGAGAGTGTGTATCTTGTGCAGCTAATAGAGAGCATGGATAGTGAGGGTCAATATACTCCTGTGAAAATCTTTGAAGATAACCAGGGTGCAATTGCTCTATCCAAGAACCCAGTATGTCGTCAACGATGTAAACATCTGGATGTCAAGTATCATTTTGTTCGAACTGTACTGAGTGATAACATGATAACCATTGACTATTGCCCTACAGCTGATATGGTTGCTGATATTTTCACTAAGCCTGCAACAAAGGTAAAAAGTGAGACATTTGTAAAGTATTTGTTTGGAATGTAAATAACCCCAGAAGTTTCAAACACTGTGTTATTGTGCAGGTGTATAAGGTGTTTACATTTGAATTCATGTTGAGAAATTGTGCAGTATAAGAGTAAGTGGGGGTGTTGAATTATGAAATGTAATATATGAATTCTGTTTATTTAATACTCTTATACTAATCACTTCCTGTATTCCCGTGATAAAAGGGACATGCGCAATAAAACGTGTCACTTCCGTTTGAAGCACATCTGATGGTGTATGTGTGTATTTATTCCTCTGTCACGTTAACTATGTTCACGGTATTCCTGCCCTAAGATCATGGCATCGCTAACAGCTTTTATTTGTATTTTGAAATAATTGAAGTCAATGGCGAGAGAAGGGTTAACTTTTAATGATTAAAATCATCACTGCTATTGGGCCCTAACGTGTGTTTACTAACACCGGTTACTCCTATAAACAAATAAACACTTAACCATATACATCTTACCTCCTCCTCCTGCTTCCAGAGGCCCACGAGTTGAAATGTTGCTCTTTGACGAGTTGATGGGGGCTGCTGTGGCCTTGAACTGCTCGGTTGTGTAGAGTTGGCCTGGCGAAAAAGAGTGGCGATCTCTCCATCTACCGAGGAGAGGTTACTCCTGGCGGGGGACGTAGACTGCTGCGCAGATGTTAATATGCTCGTTATTAACGCTGCTGCCTGATTGAGACGATCCGTGTGGTTAGCTTCCATTTTTCCACCAGGCATCAACACAACAAAAACGTCCGAGTAGCAGCCTGGAGCTAATGAAGCTAACGGGGCTAACAAAGAGACCACTAGCAGATGACTTCCGTTACATTAGAATGACTTCCGTTACAGCAAGAATGACTTCCGTTACAGCAAGAATCCCCTCACACACACATAGGTGAAACACATGCACATTCCCTACTGAGAACCTTTCAGTAAAATGTTTTTCAGGAGTGTGTGTGTGAGGTTAATTTTCAGTAGTGTGTGTGTGAGGTGTTCAGTAGTGATTGTGAGAGGATTTCAGTAGTGTGTGTGTGAGGCTTAATTTTCAGTAGTGTGTGTGTGAGGTGTTCAGTAGTGAATGTGAGAGGATTTCAGTAGTGTGTGTGTGAGGTGTTCAGTAGTGAATGTGAGAGGATTTCAGTAGTGTGTGTGCAAGGCCAGATGTTTTCAGTAGTGTGTGTGAGGTGTTCAGTAGTGAGTGTGAGAGGATTTCAGTAGTGTGTGTGCAAGGCCAGATGTTTTCAGTAGTGTGTGTGCGAGGTGAGTTTGAATGTTGGCCTACACGGCCCTTCATATTCCAACGCTTCTGCCCATTCACTTTGAATGGGGTGACGTCACTTTTAGCCGAACTGCATTTTGGGAAGCGACGTGGAGCGTTGCTGGCGTCAAAAGTTGAGCAATGTTCAACTTTTGACGCCTCGACGGAGGCGTCAGCCAATGAAATCCCGTTTATGCAAATCTGCCAGTACAAGCACTAGCCAATCAAACCGCGTGTATGCTGGGAGAGACTACGCAGGTCATTTCCTCATATTCAAAAAAATGGAGGGAAAATTCATTATAGCGGTAGTGAATCACCCGGTGCTGTATGATCAGTCTCTGTTGATCTACCGGGATACAAACCGGAGGAGCGAGGCATGGAGGGAGGTGGCAGAGACAGTGGGTGAATCTGGTAGGTTTTCGCCTGTTTGGGGATTTTATATCCAGTTTACTTCGTTTTAACATTGCTATTGCTTTGTATGTCGGGGGCGGGAGATTCAGGTGATTGGTTGTTGGTCGCGTTGCTCGCAAAAAATCCCCAAGCTTCAGATACGCCCACCTCCAAGCGTCAACGCACGCTGCTGTGTGAACGCTCCGATGTGAGGGCATGGGCTTGAGCATGATATAATTATGTTATCTATCAAATTCGCTAACCTGTCTGTCTTTAAATTCTTTAAACAGCTCTGGATGCCGGTCGGCGAGGTGCTTAGCCAAGTTTGATGTGTTGGCTCCCTTGGTTTGCAGGGATCTAAAACATTTCTCACAGACAGGCCTCGTGGTGTCCGTAGGCTTGCCCTCACTGTCAGAGATATTGCTCAAATACTTCCAAATTTCGCTTCTGGCGTCTTTTTTGTCAACAAGCCGAGGCGCAGCGGCAGTTGCACTCCCACTTGCAGCCATGCTTCTCATTTTCTCAAATACTCTGGCAGCTAGCGCGTGGCCGCGTGCACGAGAGAGGGGAGGGACTTAGAACGTGCTTGAGAGGGGAGGGACTGCAGGCACGGCTGCAGGGAGTGGAAGCAGAGCGCTGAACACACACGGCTCTTATTAAAACGGCGCTTTCTCACCGGAGTACTTTTCCCCGTCATTCTTAAAGTACCGATACTAATGAAACGGAGGAATCGTACCATTTTTAAAGGCAGGGTATTATGGGCTCAGAACAGTCTCATAATACACACATACACACAGAAGGATTCACACTTGTATTTCATGATCCGCAAAAGGATTCACACTTGTATTTCCGGATCCACACTTGTGTTTTTCAATGCACACACAAATGTATTCCGTTTCATATAAATGTAAATAAAATCCAAATACAGAAAAAGTTTTACATGTGTATTTTTGATCCTCACATATTGCACATACTGCAACACAAACAGCTTTCTGTGCACGGATCGCTGTGCATTCGTGTGTGGGTTTTTTTAGACTCCCCTGACGGTCAGCCGATTCGTACTTGTAATTATTTCTATCTATAGCCAATCAGATGTCTCCTCAATTCTAAGCCAATCACATGAGCGCGCTCCCACGAGGGTAGATTTCTTGCGTTCATGACGTAGCGCTTCATGTACGCATTTTGCGCAGTCCGGAGTTGACAGCTCCATGGAGCCTGCCTGCAGGCGCTAATCTCAGGACACCCTCCACTCTCAGTACAGCGCCACTTTCCGAACAGGAAATGCACGCAAATACAAGCCTTTATATTATTAAGGTACAGCGCCACTTTCCAAACCATTGATGAATGCTTGTGTACACAAAAACGGCAGGAAAAACCGTTTTAAATGTGTGTTTCCTGTATGGCGATTGCGAATACAGCTGCTTTATTTATGTCTGTATGAAGTTGTTGTGAGTGTGGAGGGAGCAGCTACAGGTTAGCTTAGCCTAATCGATCAGTGCACTACGAAGCCAGTGCTAGACAGTGACCTCGGGGGGGGAGCCCCGCCGGTCATTATCGGCCGATATTCACTCTTAATAGTTTGATCGGTGCTCTCTATAAAGGCCGATCAGAGAGCTGGATCTGATCGATTTGGACATAAACGCGAGTGAAGTATAACCGGACGCAAGAGATAGATCAGATCAGCTGCTGAGTCTGATGGAGACACGCTGCTCTGCATGATCACCTGATGCTCCGCCCTCTGTTTAGCGAGCTGACCGGACTGCGCAAAATGCGTATATGAAGTAATCTTACCCTCGTGGGGGCGCGCTCATGTGATTGGCTTAGAATGAAGGAGACATCTGATTGGCTATAGATAGAAAAAATTACAAGTACGAATCGGCTGACCGTCAGGGGAGTCTCATAAAACCATGCATAAAACCCACACACGAATGCAAAGCGATCCGTGCACAGAAAGCTGTTTGTGTTTGCAGGTTCAGGGGATTTAAACGGAAAACAAATATGTGAGGATCAAAAATACATATGTAAAACTTTTTTCTGTATTTGGATTTTATTTACATGTATATGAAACGGAATACATTTGTGTGTGCATTGAAAAACACAAGTATGGATCCGGAAATACAAGTTTGAATGCTTCTGTGTGCATGTGTGTATTATGAGACTGTTCTGAGCCCATAGTTACGGTGGCCGGCAGGTGCAAACGCGGAACAACGGCCAAAAACAAATACATTAGCAGGAAACAGCTGCAAATCCTGAAATGAAAAACAAACAAATCCTGAAAACAAATACAACCAAAAAACGCTGCATTTACAGAAATGATGCAAACTAAATACAACACACAAACCCCGAAAACAAACGCAACAAAAAAACGCTGCAAATACCAAAACGACATGCAAAGTCCAAAGCACATACAAATCCCAAAACACATACAAAAAAAGTGGAACCGGAAGTGTTCCAGGCCTCTAGGGGGCGCGCTACGTGGAACAGATTGATGTCTGACCAGACATAGAGGGAACGAACAAGAGTGCTGCAAATTGAAGCCGGAGGGAACGAAGTTGATCGAAGTGGAAAAAGACGATATATAAAAAGGTAAGTTTTGTTTTGATACAAAGAGCGTCATATTTACCCAGCTAGCGTTAGCTTGTTTGGTGAAAGAGCTTGCAAGTCAAGAGACAGCACTGTCTGTGCACCTAAATGTAACTCTTGACATCATATAGATATATTATAGGTGCAGAGAGGAGTTGGTTTATTGTGCTTCAATGTAAATCCTAATGTGAGAGTTAAAGAACGGTCAACAATATAATGTACCTTGGTCAGTTTGGATTTATCGTGGCATTTATTCTTAATTAAAGTGAATTTATTTTATTTCAGTCAGTCATTTGTGTGTTGTATGCAGGTGTGGGACATTCCAAATGTTCCAAAAGTGAGCACTCCACGAATGGACAACAGTTTGCAGGGTAAAATAAAACATTGTCAACATATTATTTTGTGCCACAAGAAGCAGAATGTTTTAACAGTACAGTAGTTTGAATATATTTGTTGTTAACCTTTATCAGACCTCTCAGGCACCCACAACCAGCGTCTGATCGGGTAAGACTAATTACAAATGTAATTATACCATGTAGGTTTGAATTTGTGAACATGAAATCAATAAATACCTTTGTGTGCACTTATTTCCTGGGTAAAAATAGGATGGAGCACCAACCCCATTCCAGGAAAAGGTCCAGTCTGCCCCGGGTCAGAACCACTTCTATAGGTAAACGAGGTTGACAGTTGCATCGTGACACAGTTGTTTGCTGTGTATCTTTATTTTACATTTGTTTGTTTGTATAGCCTCCAATCACAGTGGGTAACATTGCCAGGAAGCAGCAACAATTATACTTTTATACATTTCCAAATGACACCCACAACATCTGACATCTTAATGAAGACAATACAAAAAACACCCACAAATATTTTTCAAAGATCAGATATTTTTTGTTGCATCCATTTCAAATGTTTACAAGGATTGTGCAGGAGTATGACAAAAGTGCTGTTGTCAGTTTAGAACCCAATGTATTGAAAAAACAGGAAGAGGATCGACATCCTTTTGTAAATATGACTGTCATGCATATATTAGGTATTTGAAAGTAATTATTCAACTGTCTTCTCACTGCAGCAACTACACAACTGTGTATGCACTTATCATTATTGATAGCCAGTCTGAGCCAGAAGACACAATGGAGCAAAGGTATTAATTGTTACTATTACCACTTAATTTTTCTATTCTATTCTGTAAATCTTATTACTAGCTTCATCATTTAATATTACAATACATCACTTTGTCTTTCCCAGCACAGAATACCTGACTGCGGCACACATTGTTGCAGAACTCTCTGCAAAAATAACAAATACATCTTGCAGCAGGTTCAATATTAATAGAGCCAGTGTGTGCGATGGAGCAATCCGCGGCTTCAAAGGTGCCTCATTCGATCCCTCTCATGAGATGTCAGTTAAGTTCACTGATGATGAGGGACACACTGAGGATGGAGGGGACAATGGTGGTCCCAAGCGTGAGTTCCTGACCCTCCTTATGGAATGCCTGAGAATGAAGAAAACATCACGTCAGCAACTGTTTGTGCCCCATGGCGGTGTGACTTTCCCAGCCGCTCACTGTCTCAAAATCTGATTCTAAATGTATAATGTTCTCTATAAAGATAGAACTAATACACAATTATGAATGTATAATATAAGCTGTTTTGTGTATTTAATCATGCATTGGTCTACAATTTAATGATGGCTTCTACATATTTCACATAAACAGACAATGAAAAAATGTGTCCTTCATGCTGATAACTAGTGTATGCATCTGCCAATTAGTATTCTAAACAGAGTAGTGTGTTGAATCCTTATTTCTTGCATTTGAAACAGATACAATAAAAAAAGTGAACTTACTGTTGTGTTCAACTTCTGCCAAAAACTGTACATGTTTGCCACAGGAGCCACAGAACACTTGAACTGTCCCCAGATGCTGGCCACAGAAAGGACAAAACATGGCGGCCTGAAAAGACATACATTGATGTAGTAAATCCATTTAATCAAGTTAATCAAAAACACATAGTCTAAATAGTGGTTAGCTAAATAAATAGAAAGATACATCATGTTTACCGTTGAATCTGTGTTCTCTCTCTCCTTGAATGTCTCTATATTTGTTCTTGAGCATGTCTAATGCACACTACTCTCCTGTCATTACTTTGTCCCTCTTCACATGTTGTCACATGTTGTCACATGTTGTCACATGTTGTCACATGTTGTCATCTCTCTCTCTCTCTCTCTCTCTCTCTCTCTCTCTCTCTCTCTCTCTCTCTCTCTCTCTCTCTCTCTCTCTCTCTCTCTCTCTCTTAGCTTTATTAGCATGACCATAGTTACAGGTAATTGCTAAAGCTCTGTATAGTTGCAACATCTATACACAAATATATGCATATAAACAAACTGCTAAGAATTCAAATGTCCTTCTTCCGCGGTACTCACTATGGCCCGTGTTATTTGCCTGCACTTGATTTGTCATCTCTTTTAACAATGTTCTTCCCTCACTTTATCTTCTCTTCACGTGAAGCTCTCCTCAGCTGGTGTAGTAGTTAGGCACGCTAACGCTAGCTATATAAATATGACGCTCTATGTATAAAAACAAAACTTACCTTCTTATATCTTTCTCCACTTAAATGAACTTTCGTAGCGTGCCCCCTAGAGGCCTGGAGCACTTCCGGAATGTTTTTTTTGTATGTGTTTTGGGATTTGTACGTGCTTTGGACTTTGCATATCATTTTGGTATTTGCAGCGTTTTTTTGTTGCGTTTGTTTTCGGGGTTTGTGTGTTGTATTTAGTTTGCAACATTTCTGTAAATGCAGCGTTTTTCTGTTGTATTTGTTTTCAGGGTTTGTTTGTTTTTCATTTCATTATTTGCAGGTGTTTCCTGCTTATGTATGCGTTTTGGGCCGTTGTTCCGCGTTTGCACCTGCCGGCCACCGTACATAGGGTATCGCGGTACCTTTCAAGTATCGGTACACCGTGCAACACTACTTGTGTCTTGCTGAAACTGTTGCTATGAAACTATTTGGATCAGCAGTTGTGCAGAAAACAGTGAAAACCCATTCCGCCTGTAAATGCATGCAAAGACTGACTTTAAAAAAACAAGCACATCCCAAACGGGCACTGCCCTGGTGAAGATAATTGTTAGCTGCAGAATCCAGATTCTCCTAGGCAGCTTGTGATTTACTTTACTACATCCTAAATAAAACAAGCTTTACAGGCTTCACACCTTTCATGATTTCTTACTGCGATAGGAAGGAAATAATTAGTTTGTGCTTCTTGGCTGCAGCTTCTCTCTGTGTTGTGTTCAGAGTCTGGCTCCTGCTCTTCTATTTTGGTGCAGGCAGATTTTTGGGGGGGATCTGTGTCTGTGTGTGTTTGTTGTGAAAAAGATCGAGGAGGTAATATTCATGTTCATCCCCGCCTGTGCCATTAAACCCCCCTACACACACACACACACACACACACACACACACACACACACACACACACACACACACGCACACCACACACACACACACTTTTCTACCCACCCAGTAGTGTTATTTTTATAAAAAATGTTTGCAAGGGTGCCCACGCAGTCCCAATGATCAGTGGCCTTCAGACTGCTGCTTCTTCCACCTACAGTTTCATGTGGGGGCAGCAGTACTGTACAGATACCAAACCACTGTCTTTGTCTGCGTCTGATCAATATTTCAGTTGTCGACTTGGCGTTTGCAGCTTTGTCACAAATTATTACAAGGGAAGAGTCCAGGCCTTTCCTCCAAACATGTCCTCTATTATTATTATTATTATTATTATTATTATTATTATTATTATGGAAAATGGATCTCAAGCAAGTAAATCCACATTTTTTCTTGTGTTTGTGTACACGATCGGCATCTCAGCCCCTGTTTATAGGCATACATTATTAAAAGGTTGCCTCGCCTCGAAGCTCTATAGTTAAGGCAGAATGTTGTTTAACTCGTACCTGCCCATACTCCATTCATCATGCTGCACGTAAACAAGCTCTGCTGCAGCCTCCCTCAGCCTTCATGCTCAGCCAACACATCCTCACTCCCAGGTCGGCCTATGTTGACGTTATGTCAAGTTCCCTGTCGGCTTTTTCCAACGCAAGGGGGGGGGGCCTTAGCGTCCATTTTCAACGCAAGGGGGGGGCCCTTAGCGTCCATTTTCAGCTTTCCGGGATGTCCATATGCTTCTATAGACGCTCATGGAAGCACGGCATTCGTTTGTGTCGGCTGCCCTTAAAGGCAATGTGAGCGTCCATTCTCATTGGATAACGGAGAATTGTACACCCGGAAGTAAGTATTCCCCTTACTGTCGATTGATTTTACAGTGATATCTGCACTACTCATCGACTAAAAAACACCAGATTATCCTTGTTAATTACACAACATTGATTGGTTTAAATTGTGTGCAATCCTTTTGTATTTTTCCCCTTCGATTCGGAGAAACAAATGTTTTTTCTGAGTAAAGGATGGCAGAAGACACTACACTACCCAGAATCCCCAGCTATCGTTTGGACTACACCTGTTTGACAAACCCCGTGATAATCCTCAAGCTCTGTGATTGGAGAGTGTGCTCCGAGGGTTACGCAGAGTCTCGAACAGCACTTGAAATGGGATGGAACCACGCAGACTGTCCAAAACTGGATTTGAAAGGGTCCACCGCGTTCCCCCTCCCCCACCCTGTCCCCAGAACTACAAATGCTGGCTATTCTGTTTCGCAACATGTTCTGTATCTATGGCACGTCTCTACTGGGAGTTGTAGTTTTAAAAGACGTTTTCGTATTTCCCATAATAAGAAGTTGCCAGTATTAAACTGTGTACATCCCTGGAGGTTTAGGGGATAGGAAACACTCACATTTAAAACATATAATTAATAAATGGGTGAAAATTGCTTGTGCCCATAATGGGCAGCATTAATATATATATACACACATGCCAGCTAAGGTCAGAAGAGCTTTATTTAACAGCTGGTCTTATGTTTGTGACCCCTGTTGTTAATTGATAACATTACATTACATTAATTGATAAGCCTGAAACATGCACTTGTTAAGGTTCAGAGGCACATTTTGCAAATATGGCAGTATAGATCGATCAGCTTAAGATAAGATATACTTTATTGATCTCAAGTTGGAACATTTGCGTTACATCAGCATGTGTAACAGTTAAATATGCAGTGGTGTTTATTTGTAAATAATTTAGTATAATCACACAAATTCTGTATTTTATATTCAACAATTCTGTGTTCTTTATTTATTGATTGTTCAATACCTGACAAGGTCGGAGATGAAATATCTACATACATCTTATAAGAGTATAATACATTATGTATAATATCAGTTAAAAGAAGTGCTTCAACATAGTTAACATTGCTGGAGGTACGCACAAATATTGATAGATGTCTTGTAATGCACTATTGAGGAACCTGCGACCCAAGTTTTTCATTCAATGCATAACTACACCATAGTTGTGTAGGCCTATATGATATGTCAATAAACCTTAGAAAATCTTGAAATCTTGAAAGGGATGTGCAAAATAGTCATTATATACAGTCTTTAATGGACTATTAGTAGAGAATAACGAGTAATTAATATTTTTTATAGGGATCCTGATTCCTATTAATATCTAATGATAAAAATAATGAAATTCAATAACATGCTTTAACCACTAGGTGTCCCTTTATATCAGCTGTGCACCTTTATGGTGTAAATACAGCCTATCTACCAATTGGATCAAATATAAAAGTCAGCCGAATTAGTGTTGATACTGCAAGGAGACGTATTGTGTGAAAAGAAATGTAAGATGTTGTTTAATGGCTGATATATTTATGATCCACGTCACGTTTTCAGTTCCTCTTGTTTGTCTAGAAGTCTTCTTATCAGGGCTCTATAAATACAGAACTACGGCAGATATGTAATATTTAATGCAGCCGAACCGTGTATTACAATGCCGTTATGTGATGACTTTCAAAGAGAAAAGCAAGCACACTCGGAATAAAGTATTATTTTATTTTTTTTAAATGTTTTCGGTCTGTTTCCGTTATTTGTTCATGACGATGTGCTGTGAGATGTGAGACTGGAATTGCACAGGGGAAAATAACACTGCGGTCAACTCAGCCGTCTCTCGCATTTGCTTGGTCAAATGAGCAGTGCTTCATTTTTGAGTGCGCGATTAATAGCGTCTTTACGGTAATCGCCGAGAAGTGGCGCTGACGATAGTAAAAGTGCTTATGCTATATTTGT